GTTGTAATATTACGAGATTAAAGTCGTAATATTACGAGATTAAATTTATAATATTACAAGATTAAAGTTATAACATTTACGAGTTTAAAGTCATATTATGAGATTAAAGTCAAAATTATGAGAAAAAAGTCATAATATTATAGCCTTTACACAAAAAAGCATGCAGTCACCACTGCATTAAAATGAGGAATGTTGAGCAACTTGTCAAGTTGTTCTTTAGTATTGCTATAAATAAATAATCTTTTAGCACATTAGCATCAAATTGTCAGTAACAGGACTTGGAAATTGTGCAAACGACTATAAGCTGAAGTGTGCATTGACGGATTTAGTCGTCACGTAGTTAATTTGGATGAAATCATATTAATCTAACAGTGACCCGAGTCATCATGGACTACTTTATAAACACAGAGACATGTCTGTACACAGCAGGTGTGACGAAAATAAGGAGGAAATGAGGAACGGGAAATAAACACGTCATGATTATGAATTTTTTCTCGTAATTTTAATCTCGTAAAATTATGACTTTAATCTCGTAATATTACGAATTTAATCTCGTAATATTATGATTTTATTCTCATAAAATTTCAACTTTAATCCCGTAATAATAATTTAAAAAAATCTCATTGTGTGTGGCCCTAATACTCAGTCGTACTTCTTAACTTGTTGAAATTTGTTTAACCTCAAAAGCACAGTTTTTAAATTAAATGTTGCTGAAACAGCAAGTTTCTCGGTGGATCTGCACTCGACTATGCAGCCTAGGTGGAGTAGTCGAACACAGATCCACTGATCCTTCAACACAGAGCATCTTCAGAAGACAAGTTGATAAAATAAATTTTTAAAATCTGTACCGTTCGATACATAGTTTGTACTGAACAGTTCGATACAGGTGCATGTATTGTTGCACCCCTAGTAAATATGCACAAATCACATTAATCTAAGTAAAATAATTTTGTATTTAAGTATTTATTAGGGGTGCAACATTAGTTTAATTTTTGGAGATTGTAAATATTTTTCTTAGATTACAATCAAGTATTACTTTGAGCAGTTTTGTAGCTAAATCTGTTTTTAGTTTAGTATAGAGGTTTGAGAATAGACTATTATTCCTTCTCCGTCCATGCAGCACGACAGAGACATTAACATAACTTAGTGCATTATTACAGAACTCTTTAATGAGATGAGTCTGTTCCTTCAGATTTAAAGCCTTCTGGAAGTTCAGAGAGAGTACAGAGCCTGGCTATTTTTATAGTTGGTATAAAATCTTTATTTTATTTTATTTTTTTTTTACGAGTAAGATTGAAAACTGTTTCCTTTTCTCTTCTCGATCCTTTCTGAGCGAAAGTTTTAACGAGTTCTGGCAAGTTTTGCGCCGATAAATACAACGGATCGAGGTCCCGGTGACTGAAGCCTTGAGTTTTTCATCTGTCAATAAGAGATGAGTTTTTAATGGAAACGGGAAACAGAGAAGCGAGCCGAGGCACTTCCACGAGACCCCGAGTGACTCTGTTAACGTGCCTCCCTGCTGTGCCTTTTTCTCCTGACCTTCCGGGGCCTCGCTGCCGCCTGCTGTATTTGCTGCTATTTGTCTGTTTCACACCGCCTCACGGACGCACACATCCAATATTAATAACCCACGTGCTCAAACAGGAGGATGTTCCATTGACCTTCAGAGAGAACACAAGAAACACACCTTCATCTCCTTTCAGAAAGCTTCGTGTCCAGTTTTTCAATTGCAAAGAGACAAGAAGAAGTCGATTTTATTTTTCCTCCACCCTGAGGGGTCCCAAAGCTGTATGAGGGGTCCTCAAAAAAAAAAAAATACTACAAGTTGTTGCTTTTTGTTTTTGCTTGTATTTTAAGCAATATTCCCATGGCATTTACATGTTAAAGTGGCAGTAAATTATTTTTAAATCAACATGAGTTTTATGAGTGGGGGGGTCCCTGGAAATTGTTCACCTTTGTAAGGTAAAGGTAAAACATTTGAGAACTCCTGGTTTAAAAGGTACTAACTGCAAAGTTATGAAGACTGGACCAATTCAAAATCACACAGTAAGGTATTAAAGTTAACCAGGGCTACTTTTTGTTTTATATAAATGGCTTTGTCCTTAAAGGGACAATATTATGTGTTTCTCAGGCATATATTTAAATACTATACCATAATAAAGTATCTATGTCACCTTTAACTGTTATTAAAATGCTGTTTTTTATGTTTAAATAGAAAATAAACTTATCTTCTCATCACTTCCTCTTCTAAACGCCTTGAAATTGGCCTCTGTCTCTTTAAGAACCACCTTCTGCTTCTGTCTCGCCCATTTCAGTGCTGGGGGGGGTGGGTATGCAGTTTACTTGGCATCTGAAAATACATTTCCTCAAAGGTATTTTTAATCTGAAAAGAGCTTCACTGAGTGAGAAGTAGTTAGGAGCTCAGCAGAAAGTTTCACTTTCACCCGAGAGCCTGCAGGAGTCATGGGCGGGGTATGTGGGGAGGGTGTGCGTTCTGCCATGATGAAGTTCAGCTTAAAGACACGTCCCAGGGGCGTTTCTAATACCAAAAGGCGTTTCTGGTCCCCACCTGTCGTTTTGCTCCTCAGCATGACTTCCTAAAAACTCTGCAGGATCTCTCAAACGTGCATGAGTGAGTCAAAGCAAGGCTTTGGGCGTGTTTTTTATGAGATGATAAAATTATAACATGATATAAAACTCAAAAAAGGTGATTTTACATGATATTGCCCCTTTAAAATAAAAGTTTGTAAGCAAAATTTGTGACTGAGGCTGTATCCAAAATTCAGGGTTTGGGTCCTTCGAAGGACCCGGCCTACCTAGACTTGGTAGGCGGTAGGGGTGTAAATCACCAGCTTTATCACGATACGATATTACATCGATATGTTTGGATGACGATTTGATATTTCTCGATATCACGAAGTCTGTCATGATATGACTTCAACTCAATTCAATTCACATGTCTGCGATCGATATAATGCTATAACATACGACCATCCAACACAATGACTGTTAGATGGGCGTACCATATCGATTCACATCAAGCATATGATGACAATATAGATCCATATTTTCATTTTGCTTTGATGTAACTGAATCATGAACCATTCAAATCGATGTATCGATATAGATCAATGTAGTAGGCCAAGTCCTTCGTCGACTGCGAAGACCTGGCTGTGAATTTGGACAGTCTAGCCTTCCAAATATTGATTGACTAACTGACTGACTGATGATGCCTTTATTGTCGTTGTACAGAGCACAAAAAATATAGCACTATAGATCGAATATAGAACAAAATTAGCAACATATTTATATAGTAACATTGTTAATATTATAAATTAACAATATTTGCTTGGAGGGGACCCACCAGTCAAGCTCGTTTACGATGATTTCTGCCAAGAACAATAATAAAACACGTGTCCAAGCAAAGGAGAAAAGCTTAACGACACAACTGCTTCAAACTTTACATTTTTGTCTCGCCAGATTTTTATTTAAAACTGTACGCCCATATTTCACTTCGTCAACCATTAGAGGAAAGACAAATCTTCAGGTCGTCTCGCAATGCACCTTGGGACACGATGGGGGTGAGGATACGCTCGGGTGGGAAAGGAAGACGCATTTGTGGGCCACGATCGAAAGAGCCTTCGAATCTGGACAGTCTTCGTTGCGTCACCGTGACGTAACCGGCCTTCGAAGGATGCAGCCCCTAAACTTGGACACAGTCTGGGGTTGGGCTTCCCTGAGATTCTGCCATGTTTGTTTACAGACCACAACCAAGCCTAACGTAGGTCACATGTTGTTTAGTGTTTGTTTTCACAAATTCAGCCAAGCTTTGTTTACAATGACTGCGTAACCACATTTCAGAAATGCACATCGATGTATCTTATTCGAACAGCTCCACCTGATGAAGTTCAGGATGACCTTTTTCCATGTGTGATTCCACAGTTTGCAATCAGAACCTTTCAATTGGATTTGCAGGCAGCTAAGCTGGATTTTAATATGTGATGAGGGACTGCAGCTGATTGATCGCCTGGCGGGCTGGGTGATTGACTCCTTGATCACATGCATAAGTCGGACAGTAAAGAGACAAGACAGAGTCTGAAAACAAAGCAAAACAAGGGAGTGACGGGTAATCTTGGTCTCCTCGTGTTGAAATCAAACGCAGCTTATTCTGAGACATTTCTAAGCCCCCCTGGGGGTCAAGCCTGAAATATTAGTTCATGCAAATGAAACAAAAGGCCATGTCAGCATCTCCTGAGTCACACAAACACAGAAAGCACAGCTGCAATCCTCAGCAGAGCAGACAATGGGAACACAAAATGCCTGAGGAGACTTCAGGGTTGCTTCTCGAAAGCCAGAAGCACAAAAACAGTTTTTCATCTCTTCTCACTGAGCTCTGAAGCGTGCAACATAAAAACCCTTAGGTCTGCCTCCTGCAGACAAAAAGGTACCCTGGAAATACTTAATAGGTGTCCAGGCAGGGAACACCTCATTTATGGGTCTCCATAGTGAAGCTCACAACAAAGCAAAACTGATTTAAAACTTCATCAACGCACAACTAAAATAATCATTTCAGATCATTATAACATAAATGTTAGAAACACACAGACTGGTGGGAAAATAAAGATTATCACACAGTTAAATCTATTTTTTTTATCTCCTGACTGAAGTGAATCTGGGTTGAACTCACCGGGGATCTCGGTCTGAGGCACCCCGGTCAGAGTGAAGCCCTTCCCGGTGTAGAACTGCCGCAGGTCCGCGCAGCTCCTCTCCGCCCCGGACCCCGGGCCCGGCAGCGCGCACACACACAGCGCCGCGCACAGCAGCGCCGGGACGCGCATCTTTCTGATGTGCTGATGGGCCGCTTCCTGCTCTCACACGGTGTCCTCCCGCAGGGGTGGCTGAAGAGAGAAGAAGATCCAGGTTCTGTTCGGTGCTTCAGTTAAAGAGTTTTAAAGGAGGCGCCGCGTCCCGTTTCAAACACCGCACAAAGCTCCGGAGCCGGGACCGCTTTCTGAGCTGCAACACGCGGCTGGAGGGGTCAGGTACACCCCGCTGCTCCTCCTCCTCCTCCTGCCTGGCCCCGAGCTGCAGAGATGGAGGAGACAAAAGAGATGGGACCGGAGAAAGAAAGTGAGCGCAGGTGGAGAGAGAGAGAGAGAGAGAGAGAGAGAGAGAGAGAGAGAGAG